GAGCGGCGCAGCTCCTGGGCAAGCTGGGGGCTTGGCTCCACTGCCCAGGCGAGCAAGGAGCCGCCCTGGGCAGGGTGTATGGGGTGGTTTGCCCCTGCGAGCCGTTATCTGCTTGGCGGAGAGAGCTGCTGTTAGGCCCCGATAAGTGAGCTGCTTCTCTCCAGGCTCTGGTGGCGAGCAGGGATTTGGATCTAAGTGAGTTTGGCAGTCAAGGGCGGCAAGTCGCAACGTCGTTGGATTCATCGTTCCTCCCTGCCTCCCCAAGCGAAGTTGTGTGCGTGCTTCTGCGTTTTTGAGGGGGTGTTTGTGATGGCTGTCCTTTTTGGGCTCTAGAAATGGGGGAGAAAGCTGTGCATAAGCCAAGAGAAGTTTTACATAGAGTGTGCATGCGCTTGTGAGCAAACTTGTCTGGGAAGACTTTGCCCGTTGTCTTCAGAGGGTACCGACACTGACAAACTGACTCCTTCCCCCCCACCCCCCATTAGTAGGTGACCATCGACATCCTTTCAATCACAGTTCTCCCTCATGAGTTTATGAATGTACTCCTTGAGGTGTTTTCTGTACTTTAGTTCATCATACTTCCCTAAGTATCTGTAGAAGACAAACTCTTAAAAGATTATACATGCTTATTTTAGAGCCAGTGATAGCTAATTATCCTGACAATTGTGTTGCCACTGCATTTCTTGCTGACTTGAATAAAATGTTTATTTGCAGTGTCCGTGGGGAGCCCCTAACACAACAGCAATATCATGTTCCCTTGCTGACGTAATGAGTGAACAGCTGGCAAAAGAGCTGCAGCTGGAAGAAGAAAATGCTGCTTTTCCTGAAGTGGTTGCGTAAGTTTAAATCCTGGCTTAGTGATCTCCACAGTTGTGAAGCCACTTTCTGTGTCTTGTGCATTTTCTTCCAATGAACTTAATGCGTAGTGATACAGTAAATGCTTTGACTGTTATCTCCTAACTTTGCTTCTTCAGGTCTTTTTCAGTGAAGATGGCTTCCCCAGTTCAAACTCTTCCTTAGATTGCCTTCTCTGTCACCCTTCCTTCCTTCTTGGTATTTTCTTCATGTTGTTTTGGATGCTTTAAGCCAGTCTGTAAGCTACATTTTGAGAAATGTCAGAAATGGTTTTTTTTTTTTCTTCTCTTTTAGAGACTCTTGTTAACATTGTACAAGGTTATTTTGAGAACTGTCAGGTGTATCACCTATATCCTCCTTAACACTTGGAAGCTCTAAACGTAGGTCAAGAGCTTACTAGTTTTAAACTCATACAAATTTGCCTGCGGTCTTTCCTGTGAAGCAAAGCAACACCGTTGTTTTTTTTTCTTTTTAAAATCATATCTATTTATTTACTTATTAAAAAATATTACTATATGTACGCACATACACCCATGTGCCTTCTTTCTCTTTCATGAAGGGCATCTTAAAAATAGAGCCTAATGCTTCTTACAGAACAGTAAACAAGTAAGAGTTTAAGTAATATTTGCATCATAAAGGAGTGGCAAAGAGAAATGAAGTCATGCTCTGTCAATATTTTGTGTTGGCTTGGAGGGGTGGCGGACAGTTGATATCCATCAGTTTCTGTGCAGCTCTGTGTGAAGTCTTTTGTATAGAGTAACAAGATGGTATAAAGGGATGTTTCTGTTTAGATTACTCTGTTTAAATTTTTAAATTTCTGTCTTCATTTTACATAGTGTTGCTGAAGGACCGTTTATTACTGGAGAAAATACTGACACTTCTAGTGACCTAATGCTAGCTCAGATGCTGCAGATGGAATTTGACAGGGAATACGATGCACAGCTTCGGCGGGAGGAGAAGAAGATCAATGGAGATAGCAAAGGTACTCTTATCAGAAGAAATATTTTTGCTGTAGAGGCTTTCTTGGCACTCTGCCTAAGTTGACAGAGCTGTGAAGAAGTAGCAAATCCCTGATAATCATAGACATGCTTTTTTGTTTTGTTTCTCAAGTCTCCATATCCTTTGAAAATTATCGGAAGGTACATCCCTATGACAGCGACAGCTCAGAGGATGAGGTTGATTGGCAGGATACCCGTCATGATCCTTATAGAGCGGGTATGTGTCAGTTTTAAACAATATGATTTCTTTGCTTAATAGACCTAAGAATATGAGACAGTTAAATTAGGTTTTTTGAATGTAAGGAGACATACCAGCTGCATGTAAAATCAGGTTACCTAATTGGGAGGTGTTATGCAGGAAGTTGGGCATGTGACTTCAGGCTTCTGTCCGCCAGTATATTGGCTTCAGTGGCTGAAACTGGTAAAATAACTATTGTACATGGAATGTACTGTGGGATATGTGTATCTGTCATCTACATCTGGCTCGGGGCATCTGCATATGATATTGAATATTCCTGTCTTTAACACACCAAAAGCGTGTCTGAAACCCCAGAGAAGACAGAAAAGTAAGTCGTAACATAGAAAAAGAAGTGGTCATGTTTAGGATAAGAGAAAACTGCATTAAGATTGTACAATTGAAGTATTGTATTCTGTTTAGTAAGTAAAATTATGTTACTTTGTGGGCATTGTGGAACCTTTATGAGCCTTAGTTGTGTTTGTTTAGAAGTAAAGTTAGATTTATTTTTCTCACTGCTGGCAGATAAACCTACTACTACACCGAGAAGGGGCTTCATAGGAAAAGGAAAAGACATTACTACTAAACATGATGAAGTGGTATGTGGTAGAAAGAACACTGCTCGCATGGAAAATGTAAGTGAAAACTTATTTTGTGTGTAAAACTGGAATGCTGTAATTCAACCAAAGAACTAATGCTTGTCCACCTGTGCTACTGTATGTGATGCTGACTTTTTTTTTTAATCAGATGAAAGCAATGCAGTGTCTGGATGAGTTATTCAAATTGGCAGTTTGAGTTGTGCGGGTTTTTTGTTTAATAATAGTTTATTAACAACCGTGATTCAAGAATTTGCAAAGAACTGTTTTGGCAAAACAAAACTATCAGCAAGTTTGGTACACAGGCAAATCAAACACCAAGGCTATTTTTGAAAAGCATAGCTATTGTGTAATCTAAATTTTTTTAAAATTCATTTTGCCTGATGAGCCAAGTAACTTACTTTCAGGCAATTGTTTCACTTAGAGCTTTTCGGTGTATTTATCCATAGTACATACCTTCCGTTTTCTTTAATGTAATTGGTACAGCTTCTGCAAATAAGGAAATGCTGCAAGTGCTACTTTTACAGGATGTTTAGTAATCTCATATCAATTTGGGTGGAACTTTGTGTAATGTTGTCACTGTGTTTAAAAAACATGTTGTTCTAAACTCAGAACCCAAAGTGGGTTTCACATAGGTCCTAATCTACCCTAGGTTTTTGCAAATCGGGATGAGAGATTTCTGCTTGTGCCAACTTCTGGTGTCTGTGAGTAACAATGCTTAAATTTCTATTATTTCTGCTTGTAGTTTGCACCTGAATTCCAAGTTGGGGATGGAATTGGGATGGACTTAAAGCTGTCAAATCAAGTCTTCAATGCCTTAAAGCAGCATGCGTACTCTGAGGAACGTCGAAGCGCAAGGCTCCATGAAAAGAAGGAGCACTCCACTGCTGTATGTTTTTTATTAACTCTCTATGTACTTTTTATCTTGTGTAACAGCTGAATGCTGTTTTGGTAATTCCTTGAAACATTCAATTTTTAGTAAAATAGTTAAGCGGTATTATGCTAGCATTGCTGAAGGAGATGGTATCAGCCACCTCCTGCTAGAAAAAGGGTGTCTTTGTTTGAGCTGCATTATTGTGACAGCTACCATTTTTTTTCCTCTTTGTCTTTCTAAACTTGTCTCTTAATCAGCTACAATGGATAAACTATCTAGAAATTATTTATAGAAACAATCCAGAGGACTAATCCTGTGCAGCTGAATCATGTGATTCCAAGTACCTGTCTTCATAGCAAGTTTCAGGAAGATGAGGTGACCAAGTAAACTCTGACTTGATAATTTAGGAAGCCAGTTGATATGCTTTATGGGTGGCGTTAGAGCAGGGCCTCTGGTAATTCTTGCTATGGATCTTCGAATTGTTTCTCTTTATTTTATTGTTACTGATATAAAAGGCATATAATATTTGGGATGTCTTGATTCATGACTTGTAAATACTTCTTGAAAACACTGTAGAAAGCGTTCTTGAGCCACAGTCTGTACTTTATTACTTTATGCGGAATTGGTAAAATACTGTATGTGCTACACAGCTGGTAAGGTACCTGAGAGTATTAAATCTTAAGGTGACAGTGCTGGAGGAGTTTGACTTTGCTTCATCTGTTTGTTTGTTGTTGGTTTTGGTTTTTTTTTTCCCTCTATCAATTGAGAGAATGCTCTTAATGCATTATTCGTTCTACCTAGCTGAACACTTGTGGCATATAAATACTCTAAACTCACTGTAAAGCAAAGAATTATTTTAATGAATTGAGTATTTGTTTCTTGCCTGTAGGAGAAAGCAGTGGACCCTAAAACACGTTTACTTCTGTACAAAATGGTTAATGCTGGGATGCTGGAGACCATCACAGGCTGCATCAGCACAGGAAAAGAATCTGTTGTTTTTCATGCATATGGAGGAAAGTAAGTATTTTGTTTGTTACTGACCGTAGCTTTAAGTACCAGAGATGGTTTAAAAAGCAGAAACCACAAAAATATTTAATCAATCTGCACTTTTTTCATTCCCAAGACTTAAAGTTTGTATTCATATATATGCAGATAATAATAAAATCTGAAAACCAAATGGTACCAACTGTAAAGTAAAAAGATCCCCACTTTCCTCCTTGGAGCCCATTTAATGAACAGGGACAAATCCACTGTAGCTTTCTGTGGAAAAATATGTGCTCCTTTTTATAAAAAAAGAAGTATTGAGATTTTGAGGAACTCTTTCCACTGGCCTGGCCCAGACTACAGAGCTGTCATGATGATCTTGGGCTACCTGAAGATTGTCTTTCCATACAGATCGCTGTATTATTGGCTCCATCCGTGCAGTTCAGTAGGAGTGCTGTCCGTTACTTTTGGGTTACCTTGAGAATAGTGTTGGGATGCTGTTCACTTTGCAAATCGTGCAAGAGTCCAGTTTTAAAGACTACCATGCTGGAAGGATTATAGTATGTTAGTAATGACTGTAGTGCATTGAAACACCACTAGTTTAAAGTGAGTTAAGAAAGAACTAATAAAGCCCAAATACAGATAATCTATTTAGAGATGTTGAGAGAGAGAGAGAGGGGTAAGTTGGGGGTGGGGAGAAAATATGTGCCTTTTTTTTTAATTGACCTTTGCTTGAATGATGTTCAGGAGTGTTCTTTTGCTTAGTATTATTCAATGGGTAATATTTTTGTGGTGCTTAACAAAACATTGTGATAGTACTGCCATTACTGTTCTAATGCAAGACTTCTTTCACTTGTAATTTCATGAAGCAAGTACATCCATTAACAGGGCTGTTATTAGCTACAACATTTTAAGTAAAAATATTAAGAACTTGGGAGGTGGAAACTATTTGATAAGCAACATGTAATCAAAATGCCAAACCCCAAATATTCATATATAAGCTTAATCATAGAACTTTTACAAACTTAATTTGACCTGGCCTCCAAATTTGATAGAAAATCAGATCTTTTCCTCTCTTATATTAAAAAATTGCTATATCTTGCAGTGTTTAAAAAAAAAAAAAACCAAACAAACATGCATTTGCTTGTAAAGATGTGAATCGTTTCCTTTGTTATATATGTGCCTTTTTCCATGAGAAGTGCAACTGAAGATAAAGTTATACCTCCAGAATGTGCCATCAAAGTGTTTAAAACAACTCTTAATGAGTTCAAGAACCGTGACAAATACATTAAGGATGACTACAGATTTAAAGACCGCTTCAGTAAATTGAATCCACGGAAGATTATTCGTATGTGGGCTGAGAAAGAAATGCATAACTTAACAAGGTAAAGAAAAAAAAGTTTACTTGGCACATGCCTGTCGGTTTCCTATTCTCTGTTTAAGTAAGTTATGCTATGTTTAGGCAGGCACTTTTAGATTTGATTTTTAGGCTAAACGATATACAACCTGGCACAGATTGAATAAGCCTCTGGTTTCTTACAGCTTAATGAATTATCATCATCAATTACTTGGCAGCAGAATTTTACAAACCAAGAAAACTAACAGGCTCTAGCTGTAAAAGTAATTAGTTTTAGTGAGTGATTTTAGACCCATTTATGACTTTTAAGATCTGAATTTTCCTAGATGAAATACTGTGAAGTGTATACATTTATTCAGTTTTCAATTCGATCTATTTCAAAGACTTTGACTCTGGATCATGTTTCTCACACACAGCTCTCAAAGTTTGGAAATGAGCAAGCAGGAGATAGAACTGCAGGGGTTTTGTTTGTTTTTCTTAATCAGTATCTATTTTCTGATCCACAGAATGCAAAATGCAGGAATTCCTTGTCCTCAAGTGGTTATCCTTAAGAAACACGTCTTGGTTATGTCTTTCATTGGCCAGGATCAAGTCCCAGCTCCTAAACTAAAGGATGTAACACTTAGTAGTGAAGATATGAAAAAGGCCTACTATCAGATTCTTAATGTAAGACAATGCTGATTTCTCCTCCAATTCTGCATTGTGTTTTCTTTTAGGGGAATAACTTAAAGGACAAATCTGCATTTATTTACTTTTCAGGATGCTTGCATCACTTTCAAGATACGGAGTCCAAAGGCTTATTTTGCTGCTGTTTAATGTGTGACTTAAGATAAATAAGAAATTATGTACTTAAAAAAAAAAAAAAGAATAAATTTGAATCTTAATCTGAGTGGAAAACATGCTGGAACTTGATGACAAACACATACTTAACAGCAGAGAAATTATGAGCAAGTACTTCTCCTTTCATAGAAGCAGTGTGATTTAGAAAGTTCTTTGAAGTCTTTCTGGGCTTACCGAATACTTAATTTCTAGTACTCACTTAAGCACTCTCCAGTGGATAACTCCCCACCTCCCTTTTTAACAAATCTAGAAATCAGAGAATGAATTAGAATATTGCATGGTAAATACTTTACTTTCCTATTATCTGCTGTAATTGGTTCAGACATGTACCTGCTAACTGTCCACTCACTGTTAGCTTCCTACAGACATTAAAAAGAAAAAACCTGAACAACCAACCCAGCAGCTTGATAATACCAATGGTCTGTGCCTCAAATCTCAAGACCAGTAGAGCAACACAACCGTGTTTTAAGTGAATATGCATACTAGTTAGGATTCAGTATCTAAAACTGAGATTTCTTTCCTGTGTGATGGGGTGAGAATGACAGGTATATTTAGAGAACATGTTTATCTATCTCATGCACTTGGCAGAGCTGACATGTGCTTACCAGACTGATTCTTGTGACTTGCCAAAGCTAAGCTCAGTGATAAAAGCTTAGTTTGTTGGCAGTTTACCAAAACCATGATTCCCTGTATGAAATTTTATTGAAGACTTGGAAAAAAAATTATGTAAATTGGGTGGGTGAATGGGGAAGGGCTTTGTTTTGTTACAGTCGTGCAAACCGTATTTATTTAGAGTATATCACACTTCATTCATTCATTAATTTGGTTCCTTGCAGATGATGCAGCAGTTGTATAACGAGTGTAACCTGGTCCATGCAGATCTGAGTGAATACAACATGCTTTGGCATGATGGGAAGGTGAGCATATTCTTCATGTGGGAAGGGAAGGTTTCATCTAATGTGAAACACTTAATACGAAGTGAATTGCTGCCTCTCTGTGACTACAGGTCTGGCTTATTGATGTCAGTCAGTCTGTGGAGCCAACCCATCCTCATGGACTTGAGTTTTTGTTCAGAGACTGTAGGAATGTTTCACAGGTAGGACCTCTTCGTCTGACAATCCTCTGTTATGCTGAATGTTTTCCAAGATAAAATCAATTGAGAGCTAACTAAAAATCAACCAATATAACTCCATAAAGGATGATCACCTCCACATAAATACAAGATTACTCTTGCACAGTGTCCATACTGATGGTGGTGTTCTCCAAAAGGGAAAAAAATGTGGAAGAATAAAACAGTACCACTGGAACTTTTTGTAGTTAGTTTTATCTGTAGGTCAACGAAAGCAAAAATGTGATTTTTGACTAAATATTGTAATTGTAACTTGGGGAAGGAAAAGGCATATTTTGTTTTGTATGGTAAAGTGTTTAACGTGTGCTTTTTATATTGACTAGTTCTTCCAGAAAGGAGGTGTGGCAGAAGCACTTAATGAGCGTGAACTCTTCAATGCTATCTCAGGTTTAAATATTACAGCTGACAATGAAGTAGACTTCCAAGCAGAGGTATAGCTTTGTCTATGTCTAACATTTTAATTCGGTTAGTTATAGTAGCTCTTGTAGTACCTTAACTTCCCATGTTTAGTTTAATTAGTGTGTGTGTGTGTGTGTATAATTTCAGCAATCATTCTGCATCTCTTCTTCAAAACTTGGTTATTTCAACCTAGTGCAAATGTTTCCAGGAACTTGGATTGACAGACCTCTCTACCACCCTTTCCCAATCCCCCTGCTCCCAAGTATAAAAGGCTTCATGTTGCATATAACTGTTCTCTTGGAAAATGTAGTGGTTTGTTTTAGTGTAAGAGCTAGCTTTGGTTTTCTTTGTATATGTTAAAGGTTGTGCAGAGAAAGGAAAGCTGGGTTAAAAATAATCATTGTTCTACTGCTTATTTTTCATGTTTTAGATTTTTAACTTACTTGAATTTAAAGTTTAGCATTTACAATTTTCAAGCCTGTAATTGTGCTAATGTAAATACGGACTAGGAATCTTTGGTCATCTTTGGCTTTTATTTCTCAAATTTTGGCTGTAACTCCTTGAAGTGTGCATCCTGGTATCGTGCACTTATAAAAATAAGTTGTCAAACATACCTTATTTATTAATTAACGTAAGGGTGACATGGCAATTCCACTCTACTTGATTCCTAATGATGGTATAGGCTTATGCTAGTCCAGTATGTAGTAGATGGGAAGTTGAGACTAGTTTAACTCCTGGGGTAGGTCCTCAAAAGGGAGGAAGAGCTAAAGGGAACACAATGTCACCATTCCATGATCCTTATGTATTTGGTTAATCGAGCAAAAACCAATTCCCTCGCTAACTATGTTGCGAGAATTGGGATGTGGGGCGGGATTTTTGTGTTGTTGTGGCTTTATGTCATCTTTTGTGCTTCTAAGTTTTATGGGAAAGACCTACATTGCTGTTTACATGGAGGCGAGTTTGAGCAGCCCATCCTTAAACTTCAGACTTTAACTTTGGTTTCTAGCAACTAAAGTTAATCTCCCCTGGAGTACAAGAGGGAGTAATCCATACATAACAACCTAAAGATTAAAATAAGCTACTGTACGGTGTTACTTTGATAGCACAAAACATTTAACTGTCTTTAACTTTCACCTTTAAAAATTATTGCAGTGGATTTGTAGTCTTAGTGTTACTTGGAATTTCTCCGATGCTGATGGATTGGCTGAGTTATGTTAGAGGTGTTCAGAGCTGGAGAAAGGGATGCTTTGTACTTGAGGAAATACAGCTGAAGTTTTAAGAATCATCCATTCCTCCCCACAACTCCTCTGTTTTGGTTACGTAGCACGAGACTATAAAGAAGCACTGTTTGTTTTACTAACTCGTTGAGACCAGGTGTTTCAAGCTGTGCTTCCAAAGTATGTTGCTCTGTACACATGACTGAATCACTGAAATAGCTATGTTGCGTGTGCCTGATCAGTCACCTAATGCTACCTTTTAACACTGGTCAGAAACATCCAGCTGCAGGCATGGTTTTATGACTTCAGCATGGATTTATTTTTGGTTCTCTAGATTGAAGCTTTGGAGAAGATGAATGAAGATCATGTGCAGAACCATGGAAAGAAACTGTCAATGTTTTCAAGCGATGGAGACCCACCTATATATGATGAATAGCACTGAGTGTATAGCTGCTAACAAAACAAACCACAAATTTACTGCTTCTAACTATGTTGGTGCAGTGATAAATGTCAACTGCCAATGTCAAGAGAGAGTGGCTGACTGGGAATACCAAAATGGAAAACACAGCGAGCGTATGGTGATGCCTCAGCGGCTTTTTTCTTTTTCTTTTTTTTTTTTTTTTTTTTTTTTAACTTGGCCCACGCATCAGGCTGGCACTGTGAGAATGGACTGTCACTACCTCTTCGGATGGTCTGACAACTTCACCAGCTGCCCAGCTACATTAGGCTAATGTAGCTGAGGTGGTCATGTTTTGCATGACTGAGAGCTTATATGTTTTAGTTTAAAAAAAAAAAAATTTAAAAAATCATCTAGGTCATCTAAAGAATTCAGTGGGAAAGCACACTAGGAGAGTCCCTCTTTTTTTTTTCCCCTATTGCTATTTGAAAAACTAATTAAAAATTGTGTATGGACACAATGTCAATGAACCTTTCTCCCTGCTCCACCAAGGGCAAAATGAAAAGTCAAACTATGAGCTGCAACTATATGAAAATATTAATTTAACAAACCAATGCCTTTATATGTGCAAAAGTCTGGACCTTTTTGTTTGAAGTACATGGAATGTGGCTCTAACTATCTCTGTAAATACAGTTGGGTATTACGTGAGAAAAGGATTTGAATCCAACCAGCAGAGGACTTCTTTGGTGATGTGCCAGGAAATCCTGAGGGCTGCATCCAAGTTGGGTAACAAAGAGTAAGTTCAGTTAGCTGCACTCTTAACAGACAAGTGGTTCTGAGAACTCTATGCAAGCAAAAAAAAAAAAACCAAAACCAAAAAACCTCTGTGATAATCCTGTCTTTAAACTGAAATTCTGAGTAGAGCATCAAACATTCTTACTCACCCCGAAGGTAATCATAGACTGAAAACTAAATATTGATAATCACTTATGTTTAAACAAAGCTCGTTTCTTACTAGTGCAGAAAGAATACTCAAATTTGTCTTTTTTTCTCGTGCTTTTATTCTTAATGTCTGTTTATTTTAGCAAGTTCTAAAAATCTAGCAACATTTCTCTGCAAAACAACACATCCAAAGAGGAACTGATGTAGTGGGATGGTTTGGAATTAAGAAATTCTGGGCAACTTCTCTTTAACTCTGCTGTTTCTGATGCTGCTCTTTAGATCAAGCGGAATACAGTGTTGCTACATGTGACATTCTCACAGTGTGCTGTGAAAGTGATGTTTTAAAAATTTGTTGGAAAACTGATGGCGAAGTAAAAACTTAAGATCTTGTGGTGGTATTTGGGCGTGGTTCTTTGCATTGTAGAGGCCTTCACTGATCCTCAGTGCTAAAGCAGAGTGAGGGCAGGACTTTTGGTGGGTACTACATAAACAGTAAACAACCTTGATGTTTTTGCCAGTTTCATCCTGGTACTTGGATCCTCTTCCCTTTTCTAAATGAGACCTTTACTTTTGAACTAAAGGATCTTGGTCTTTCGGAGACTGAGGTCTATTCCTAATTGTTCAGTGAAAGTTACCCCAATTAAAAACATCGGGGAAAGAACAGACGAGGTAGGGAGAGGGAGGTGCTGCAGTTACCCAACCCCCTTCCGGAAGATCGAAAGCTTCCGTTGTCAAGCTTAACCAAACCTTCTCCAGCAGAGGAGAGGGCTTTTTAAAAGAAAAGGATAGGCCTCTTCTCGGCTTATTACAAGTTTCAATACTCTAATTTCTTAGAGAAAAGAAATACCTCGGAGCAGTGGCTAATGCCTTGCGGTGTGCTTGTCTAGGGGAGATGCTGGCTGTTGATATTTGCATCAAGTGAGAGAAAGAGCAGAAATAGAGAGAAGTGAGGGGAGGGTGGGTTTTGAGCTGTCATTTGAAACAGGCACCTGCTGGTACCGTCCTTGGGCTGAAGCTTCAGCTGTTACTGTTGTTTTTAATTTCTTTCTATAATCTATTTAGCACAGATTAAAACAAACAAACAAAAGAAGCAATGGTCTTCAAGTCTGTGATTTAAAGCTACCGGGCCTGATTATATTGCCTAAACATCCTTTCACTTCCAGCAGTGACACTGGCTCAGGAATTTGCTTTGAGATTTTAAGATGCCTGGGTACATTGTCAAGTAGTTGAAAACAAGCATTTTCCTGGACTCCTTTGAAATAAAAGGTTCTGGGGTTATCATTAAGCAAATAGAATCTTAGAAGTAAACTGGGATTTTTCAGTTGTTGATTAAGCCATTGGCTAAACTTTTCTGACGTTACGACTAATTCTAAAATGTATCACAATAGTTTCCAGTTGTGTATTTATATGCTTGTCTGCTGATTTCCCTCCCCTCCGCCCCCATACCTCAGTTTGTTATGGTAATATTCTTACTGCAGTTGTAAAAGTGCTTGCTGTCTGGAAGGGAAGTAGGAGAAGGCTAAACGTCAGTCGAATGTCTTAAATTTTGACCTTGGATTCACTAAACTTTTGGGTAATGTGCAATGAATTACTTTGTAAAAGTAAATGATAAACTTTAAAGTACTTTCAATGCTCTGGAAATAATTTGTCCTCTCTAGTTTATGTGGAATTGATAATGCAGGAGGGTTGTGCAGAACAAATAGCTGCTTGTAATTGCTAATTGTGGCTGTAGTTTCTCTGGTCTGATGTGAATTTATTGCAGTTAGACTAACTGGGGCAGCAGGCAGCTGTTTGCGTGATACCCTGTTAGCATCTGGTACTTAAGTTTCGGTTTCTCCTGTACTAAATTGTGCTGTTCCCGTCTAATCTGAAAACTTTTAAATTAGTATGATCTCAGTCTTCCTCCCCCCACCCCTTTTTTTTATCTCCTTCATTTCCCTTTCTAAACCAATAAGCAAATATGTAATTGATGGTGTTCTCACGCGATTTCTAAATGACGCTGTGGGTTTTGCAACCTGTGAACTATGTCACGAGCTGCTGCATCAACCAAAAAAACCCGTTGCTAGTTTATCATCCAAGCTAAAATACAAATAAGCATGACTGGTGAGAAACAATCCAGATTTTAACTTTGATAATGCTTTATTAATACTGTTTCTGAAAGGTCCTTTTGTCATCTATTTTACAGCCAGCCGCTAAAAAGCAGTTTCATGCCCACAAAGCAGCGGCAGCAGCACCTGCTTTTCAGAGATGGTGCAGGTGGCTAAATTAAGGCAGAGCCCTGAAAGAGTTGGTTCCTAGAAGTTTTGGTGGTTTTTTGTTTTTGGTTTTTTTTTTGGGGTTTTTTTTTTTTTTTTTTTGTGGAGGTGGGGGGTGTTGTGTGTGGTTTTTGTTTTTTGTGGTTTGGGGGTTTGTTTGTTTGTTTGTTTTTTATTATTAAGCACTCTAAAAGGTTGGGCCAAATGTATTTATCCCCTCTATCGAAGTATTTTTCCTTCCCGGAGCAGCGCGGCTCGCTTACCCGGGAGGGCCCACCGGAGGAGGAGGAGGAGGCTCCGGCGTGACGCTGCGCCGCGGTGTCCCAGCCCCGGCGCTCCCGGGCCG